AAAAAAAAAAAAAAATTAGAGAGAGTAGCAACAGCAGGCTAAGACAAATTCAAAGAAGAAATTCATGGGTAAACTATTGTTGTTTTGGAGGGAGTACCAAAAAAGGCCAAAAACCACACTCCCAAAACGGCGGCAGCGCCACTGCCAACCTCCGCCGACCTCTCGCCGGCGACTTCTCTCTTTAGCTCCTAAGAACCTCTCCACTTCCTTACTGGAGTAGAGACATCTCTCTCACTGACTTTGACTTTCTATTCCCTCCAAAAATGTCTACTAGGTCCAACAGATCCTCAATCTCGCCGTTCCGCTCACGCAAGTCTCCTGCTGCTCAGCCACCGGCGGCTAAAACCACTGCTCGTCCTGTCACTCCTTCCTCTACGGCTTCGTCTAGGCATCCTTCAAGGCTCTCGGTTTCTCCGGCAACCTCGTCTAGCACCATCCCGAGTCCAGTCCCCACTCCGCCCGCTCCCCCTCTTGACCGCGCGGAGACTTCCAAGCCTAAGGAGAATGTCACCGTCACCGTCCGCTTCCGCCCCCTCAGGTCTGTCCTTCTCCATTGTTGTGGCTACGGAACAACTTGATTCTTTCTCAATGTTTTGCTTTATCTTTCTATTTATTTTTTTTTCAGTCCCAGAGAGATTAATAAAGGGGACGAGATAGCATGGTATGCTGATGGAGAATATACAGTGAGGAACGAGTACAATCCTTCTATTGCTTATGGTTTTGGTTCGTATTTTCTTCCCACCATCATTTTTAAATTTTATAATTTTATTTTCTTCCTTGGGAAACTAGGAAACATTATATAAGCAAAGGAAAAATTCAAATTAGAATTAAATTTTCTAGGAAAAAGAGGATTTGCTTTAAATATTTGCTGTTTACTAACAAAACATCCATGTACCATTTTGCAGACAGGGTATTTGGTCCAGCAACAACAACACGTCATGTTTATGATGTTGCTGCCCAGCATGTTGTAGGTGGTGCCATGCAAGGGATAAACGGTACATTTCTTTCTAGATGATATTAATCTGTCTCCCAGTTGATGGCTACATTGATGGAGAATTAGTAGAAAGGCCTAATGTTGAATGGTTTGGCTGAATTTGGATTCAGCTAGAGTGTATTGATGGGGATATCTTAAATGTTAATAATATTTCAAACAATTTATCTCTTTTCATTTTTCTTTTAAAGAATAGTTTGGCAACTGAAGGCATCAGCATTGTTAATTATCGGTAGACTCTTGATCTAGGCTGATTGTGATTCTTTAGCCATTCACTGTTATTGGATTTAGAGGTCCTTGCATTTGGGACATTTGGGACTGTTGATTTGAGATTTGCAACTTTTGCCTTTACCATGCAGTTTTTACCTTTTGAATTCCCTGTGCACAATTGCACGTTTTTATACTTACATATGCATACTTTCTGTTTATTTGGCTGTAGTGCTACCTTTTGTTTGTATTTATCTTATGCTAAAATGATTAAACAACAATATGCCGCATATGCAGTTTCTTGTCTTGAATGTATGTTAATTCAGAGGTGAATGGTCAAAATCTTCTACAGGAGAGAATTATGCATCTTCTTTTATCTTGTAAACAATTAAATGGTTAATTTTCCTGATTTTATGCAGGTACAGTTTTTGCATATGGTGTTACTAGTAGTGGGAAGACTCACACAATGCATGTAAGTGTTGAACTAGAGATTATTTATCATGGTGTTACTAGTAGTGGGAAGACTCACACTTGGAATTATCTTGTGGTGCAAACTTGACTTTATTAATTATATGCAGGGGGAGCAAAAGTCGCCTGGAATTATTCCATTAGCAGTGAAGGATGTCTTTGGAATTATACAAGAGGTAATTGATTGAACTGCTAGTTGACCATAATTTTGATCAACTATATGTTTGAGTAACTTGGCTTCCATTTTCAGACTCCTGGACGAGAGTTCCTACTTCGCGTTTCATATCTTGAAATCTATAATGAGGTTGGTCTCATCTTTTATTTTCTTAATTTTCTTAATTTTCTTAATGTGAATATAGTTATTTATCTTTTATATAAAATTGTGAAAGTTTATACTTTGACATGTTTGGTACCTTGAATTTGGAAGTTTTAGAAAGCCACAAGAGGCAGATGTACATTCTGAAGAATAATTGCTTTTGATCTCAGATTCATTTAAATAATGTCTACAATCATTGCTTATTAGCATTTTCATATTTTGCATGGTTTACTTCTATGGAGCCATGCTTCTGGAGTTTTTAATTAATTCGTTTCTTCTCCAGGTCATAAATGACTTGCTTGATCCAACGGGGCAGAACCTAAGAATAAGAGAGGATGCCCAGGTGATCTCTTTAGTTTAGGAAACTTATTGCGTGTGATTATCTACTCTATTTCCCATACTTTTCACCACTCCAAGTACACATTGCCTCTATCATTTTCCTTAGGGAGTTTTTTGTTTGCCTTTTTCTTTCCTTGTTTAACTGACATTTTCTCCCGGCATATCTATTGCTGTATGAGCATTTTGTTTTTTCTTTTACCTATACATAACTAGTTGATATGCTAGATAATCCTTGCATTCAATATTCAATATGTTGGAAACATTAGGCTTCTTTTTTGGCAAGGATTTGATTTCAATTTTGCTTTATTATATAATATGCGGTGATTTATGATTGCTATAAAATGTTGGCAGGGAACTTATGTTGAGGGAATTAAGGAGGAAGTTGTCTTATCCCCAGCCCATGCTCTTTCCTTGATTGCATCAGGAGAAGGTGTATTTCCTGTACTTTTCTTTTAGCATGCAACTTTTTTCTTTTTCTGAATGGCTCATTTGATTACCTTTTGCTTGGTGGAGATTTTCATTTGATAGAATCTTTTTAATTTCTTCTTGTAGCATGATCTTTTGCTTTTGTCTCTTTTTTGTTGTATTTTCAATGTATGTTATCTTTAGAAAGTTATGTTCATAATCTCAGACTTCAATTTCCATTTTACCTCTTTTTCGAAATGGACTTATATTTATGTTAGATTTTACAATTTCCCTTGTTTTTCTTTTTGAAATTGAGTGGTATCTGTACTATTTGTCAGAGCACTTTCTTCAATTAATAACCTAAATATTTTCCTTTTCTTTTACAGAGCATAGGCATGTTGGTTCTAATAATTTCAATCTTCTCAGCAGCAGGAGTCATACAATATTTACCCTGGTATGCATTTTTGTTTAATTTACTTCAACTTGTATATATCTCTGTGCTTGCCAATGTCTTCAAAATCTTATAACCTATCTACAAAGAAAGTTCTTGAGCCATGTATTGTGTACAATACTAAATGAGGAAGACAAGTAATTTTCTCCACCAATGTGGAACTAAGTAGATTTTTTGGTAGGGCATTTTGGGTTTGAAGGTGGCTAAAGGGCATTTTTGTGCATTTTTGGAAAAGCTCTATACTTATTAAATGGGTTTTCTTAGTCATTGTATTAATATTATGATCTTGACCTGCTTGAGTTTACAAACTTGGACATGTTTCCTTGGTTGCTTCACTAACCATTGCTTTTCTGGGCAAATGGTGGTGCTAAGTTGATATTCATGCTTAGGACAGTGCTCAATTAAGTAATTTATGCCTTATTTATTTATTTTTCAGTTTACATTTCTGGTGCCTTCCTTCTATGACTTTTTTTGGCCTTCCTTCCATAACTGTGGGCTTCCTTTATTGCATATTTTGTTAACTACAGACAATTGAAAGCAGTCCACGTGGGGAGAAGCATGGGGAAGAAGATGTGACTTTGTCACAACTGGTAATCTTGCTCATTTTAATAGGCAAATTGGATGTCAATAAATTTCAGACTAACCTAAGATGATGCTTTTGAGAATAAATAGCCTGTTTATTATCAATCTATTTCTGACCTCTCTGTATGACTTGTGATTTTCTTTGCAGAACTTAATTGATCTTGCAGGATCAGAGAGCTCCAAAACTGAAACAACTGGACTACGGAGAAAAGAGGGTTCATACATTAATAAAAGCTTACTGACTCTTGGCACTGTATGGCCTTGTTGTCCTTGTCCATCTTTTACACATTTGCATGATGCCATGATCCCCTATCCCCCAACAATTCAAATTATTTGCTCGACATTCTATTTCAATTTGCACAAAACTATATTGAAAACTTTCTTAAATACATTTCTATTTTTTGTTAGAACTGCTTTTATATTGATATTCTATTTTGAGTTCAACTGCAATTGTCATTTTATTTTGTATTGATGCTACCACCAGATAGAACTGCATTGAAATGGTGTTTTTGCATAACTTTTTAATACGCTATCTTATCTTGATGCCAGCTCTTAGAATTCTTAAATTCTCATCATACATACCCATAGCTGAACAAAGACTACTAGATCATACATGATAAGAGCTTCCTGGTGGTCAAGCTCCATTTCTGCACCTATGCTATTTATGATTGATAGACTTTGACTTTTATTTGATTAACTGATTAATATTTTTGTAGGTAATTTCTAAGTTGACAGATGGAAAGGCGACTCATATTCCATACCGAGATTCAAAACTGACCCGTTTGTTGCAGTCATCCCTTAGTGGCCATGGGCGGATCTCTGTAAGATAAATTTAAAACCTTAAGTTTTTCTGTAATTCTATATTCATCACTTTCTGTCAATTAAATTCCTTGTATTTTTCTTTTTTTCTTTCTCTATTGATCAAGTTGTTATTCTTGTGTCTTCTTATTTTTGGTAGACAGGTGTTATTGTTGTGTTGTTTTGTCATTCTCATTGCAAATCATGATTTTTTATTGATACTTTTATGACAACATTCTTGTTGAACTTTATTGCAGCTTATTTGCACTGTTACACCTGCTTCCAGCAGTAGTGAGGAGACACACAACACATTAAAGTTTGCCCACCGAAGCAAGCATGTAGAAATCAAGGCTTCTCAGAATAAGGTAATTTTGGGTTCATTAATAAGTAACAACTTGAAGTATTTACTGTTTTAAGCCATAGTTTGTTCCCAGACTTCCATTTCACTGGTGTTTTTGTTTTTGTGTTTTTTTTTTTTTTTTTTTTTTTTTTTTTTTTTTTT